CGCCTCGCCCCATTCCTGCCACGCATTTCGTATCGTCGACGACAAGACAGGCCATGATGAAAGGAAAAACGGCAACTCTGTATTGTTTTTTACCGTCAGGATGGGAGGACCCGCAGCCCGCATGGACGTCCGCGCGCGATGCGCGCCGCGTCCCATTCCTGCCACATATTTCACACCGTCGGCGACAAGGCAGGCCATGCTGAGAGGAAACAAATGAAACTTTGCATTGATTTTTACAATCAGGATGGGCGGGCCCGGATTGACGGCCGCGCGCGATGTGCGCCGCGTCCCATCTGTGCGCCGCGTCCCACTGCTGCCACATATTTCGCACCGTCGGCGACAAGGCAGGCCATGCTGAGATGAAAAAAACGAAGACGTTGTATTGATTGTTTACACTCAGGATGGGCGGGCCCAGATTGACTGCCGCGCGCGATGTGCGCCGCGTCCCATTCCTGCCACGCTTTTCGCATCGTCGACGACAGGAAAGACGATGTTGAGAAGAAAAAGGGCCACTTTGTATTGATTTTTTACCGTCCGGATGGGAGGTCCCCGATTGGGTCGCTATCGGCCGGAAAACGACGTAGGTGGGGGTATATTCTAATAAGGGGCAAGGAAAAGTCTGTGTATGAGTACGTCTGGGTATGAGTAAGTCTGTGTATGAGTAAGTCTGTGTATGTGTACGTCTGGGTATGAGTAAGTCTGAGTATGAGTAGGTCTGAGTATGATAATGTCTGAGTGTGCATAAGTCTGTGTATGAGCAAGTCTGGGTATGAGCAAGTCTGAGTAGAGGAGGAGAGGAGGAGGAGGAGGAGGAGGTGGAGGAGGAGGAGGAGGAGAGGAAGTAGGAGGCGTCCAAATAATAACAAGAACCCCATCTTAGGATATGGGAAAAAATAATACAACATCGACCCCAGACTATGATTTAATTCGTCCCAAATCCGCCTGTAGAGGGACACGCCCGACTTAGGTCAAGACACCGGACGCCTTGGAGATATCCGACGCCGTGACTCTTTTTTGCAGCGCGGCCGCTGGAAAATCTGGACCGCTTCCCCTGCACGGTTTTTGCGTCCCGAGTCGTTCCTGGATTGTTCCTGTGCCAGCGAGGGCCCCCAGGGGTAAGCCTGGCGCAAACCTCGCGTCGTTGCTCCAGCACGCGAGGATGTCAGGGACAGGGGGGGGGAGGAGGTGGGAGGTGGGGGGAGGGGAGGCGCGCGCGGGGCGGTCACATGCTGTGCGCGCTCGAGGCCGCAGTCCGGGAGCGGGAGATGGAGGGGGAGGGAAAGGGGCAAGGGGGGAGGGAGGGTGGGAGGGAGGGGAGGAAGAGTACCGATGACACGCGCGTCGTCTGTCAAGCTGTGCGTGTTAACTCGCTTCCTTTTTGTGCGTAAGCCAGTATCACGCTGATGGGATCGTCGACCGGCGTGGTATCGATGTTGTTCCTGCTCTCCGAGACGGGAAACTGAGTAGAGCAAGGACGCACGGACGGATAAGGGGAGACAGAAGGAAGAGGGAACCGGAGGAGGCAGAAAGGGGGCGGAAGGGAGGTATGGAAAGAGGGGGCAGGGCAACTGGAGGCAGGGAACAACTCATTTGTCCAATACGCACAACATGCCCGTCAAGTAAAAAGTAGATCCCAGCACTGGCGAGCCTGTGGGTGGCTCGCCAGGCCTGGAACACAGGCAAGCAGAGACGGCATGGTGGGGGATGGCATCACCGCGCGCGTGCGCCCCAATTGCACGTATTTCGGCCAGACAGCCGCCCAGAGCAAAGTTCGTCACAGCCAAGCGCGCCGCCTTGATCCAATGAGATGCATGTTTTTTTTAATCGTAGGTTCGTCGCTCCCGTTTGGGGTTTCTGCTGGGGTACGTCTGGGATGCCGAACGGCACAACCCCCGCAGCAAGTAATGACCCGAGCACTTCGAATCCACGATGGTGGGCGCCGCCGTGCCGAGGGAAAATCCCAGGGTGAGGCTCCGCCGAGAGCCGCGATGCGAATTGCGACAGGAAGCTGCCCGACCATCAAGGGGGAGGGTCCCTCGACGGTGTGGGGGTATCCCTTTTTCAGTATCATCGTCGTCGTCCTCCTCCTGCTCCTCCTCCTCCTCCTCTTCCTCCTCATCCTTCTCCTTCTCCTCCTCCTCCTCCTCCTCCGCCTCATGTTCCTTCTCTTCTCTTCTCTTCTCTTCTCTTCTCTTCTCTTCTCTTCTCTTCTCTTCTCTTCTCGTCTCTTCTCTTCTCTTCTCCTCCTCCTCCTCCTCCTCCTCCTCCTCCTCCCTCTCCTTCTTCTCCTCCTCCTCCTCCTCCTCCTCCTTCTCCTCCTCCTCCTCCTCCTCCTTCTCCTGCTCCTCCTCCTCCTCCAGCTCGTCCTCCTCCAGCTCCTCCTCCTCCTCGTCCTTCTCCCGCTTCTCATCCTTCTCCTCCTCGTCCTTCTCCTCGTCCCCCTCGTCCTCCTCCTGCTCCTCTTCCTCCTCCTCCCCCTCCTCCGCCTCTTCCTTTTCCT